TTAATAGATTAAATCTACTCTTGAATTTCAAGTGTTGAAAACATGCCCTACAGTTGTATAAACATGTAGAATACGTAAATACGATCCTAACGCAATTTGAATGGATCAAATCGGACTTAAAACGCAAAAGTTACGCATGAAATAAGGTTCAGTGGCATTCCTGTAAATATTTGAACTCAAATTTGATTTAAAACAATTAAAAATCTGAATTTAAATGTATTTTGGACTGGGCATACTAATTCTGGAAAATACAGGGTCTAAAGTGAATAAAATCAGGACTGATATGCAATTCTTTTGAACTAATCTGGACTGTGGGTTATTTACTTGAAAACGTGGGGGCTTTTCTGCAAAATACGCATGGCTTTGACTGGGGGTTGACTGCGACGTTGACTGGGCTGACGCGTGGCTGCTGACGGGTCGACACGTGGCGGCTTCTGATGGGTGAGGTGCACCATGTGGCAGTGGACGCGTGCTGACGCGGCGGGGTGGACCGGGTCCATGGTTCACCGTGGACCGGTTACACAGCGAAGGGGTACATCTAATCTAGATCGTCCGTGCTACATCCGACGGTGCTGGCGCGATGGGGGCAGCGGGTCGCCGGGGAAGACAGACACGATGGTGGCGCCATGGCCGGCGTGCCTGGACGCTCGGTGCTACTGCGTTCCAGTGCATGATTCGAGAAATGGAGGGTAGAGGTAGGACGAGGAGCTCACCGTGATGCGCCTGGAGGTGGTTGCGGCGTCCAGGAGGCCTCCGAAGCGAGTCGTCGACGGCAATGGCGGCTGGAGAGAGAGGGAGGGCGCGGGTGAGTTGAAATCCGAACATGGCATCACCAAAACGACGAGAGGGAGGTACCTACGGGCGCGGGCGAGTACGGTGGATCCTCGGGACTCGTCGACGATGGGGTTAGTGCTCGGGGAGGGGGAGTTCGCCGGCGGCGGTTGCGAAAGGGCTCGAGCGCGGCCAGGAACGGGAGAAGACGGGGCTCGGCTCGGCTTTATAGATGGGCGGCTGTGGCGTAGAAGGAAAGGGAGCAGAGGCGCGGGTAGGATTCGGTCGCCTGCCTTGCGGGAGAGATGGCGGCGGTGGCTTGCCGTGTTTGGCCGCGCCATCGGCGGTGAAGAAGGAAGGTGTTGGGGAAGAAAGGAAAGGAAGAGGAGGCGCTGACACGCGGGACCGGCAGCGCAGTGAGAAGGAGGAGTGACGCCGACGGGCGGGTCCCGGCTTGCAGCGAGGGAGAAGGGGCTTGCGGGCGCATGCGGTGCGCGCGCTGACGAGCGGGTCCCACGGCGCAGTGAGAGGAAACATACGCGCGCGTGCGGTGCAGCGTAGGCCGAGCGGAGCAGCAGCGCTGAGCTGAGTAGGCCGGTGCGCCAGCTGGGCCAGGGCGAGCGGGCTGCGGAGCAGTGGGCCACGGAGGCGAGGTAGCAGGCCGGGCGCGGGAAATGGGGAAGAGGGGATGCTGGGCCGTCTGGTTCCTTGGCTGGGCTGAAATGGAAGAAAGGAAGATTTTTTAAAATGAAATTCTTTTCTATTTCTAAATTCTATTTCCTTTCTTAATTCAAAACAATTTCAAATGTGAACCAAATCAAGCATAAATATGATTTAAAATATAATATCTAATTCCAACATAAATGAACCAATTTTTGAGTAAGTTCTCCAAAAATAACTTTTTAAGTTCTCACATTTTCCAAATCCTTTTCTTTTTTCTAATCTTCCAATTCTAAGCTAAATTCAAATCCAATTCAAGTATGGTTTCAAAAATACTTTCCCATTTGATAAAAATGGTCATTTCCATTAGGTTTTCCAAGATAAACTTTACAACTTTAAAAATACTTTTATTTTCTAATTTTCTTTTCTTTCTTTTCTTTTATTTCAAAGCCATTTTCAAACTCTTTTCAAAAGCATTCCAAATTACTTTGGAGTTTGGATCAACACCATTCATCGCAATAAATAGAATGCAACAGCATGTATGCTCAAACATATTGCTATCTTATAGTGTATTTTAATTTAATGAAAATTTTTATTTTCCTATATTTCATGTGCACAAAATTCATAAATAAATCATTTTAGCTCTATTTCAAAAGAGACAATTTTTAGGGTGTTACACCAACACGCTAGTCCCCGTTGTGTCGACCGCTCACTTGGTGGTTCGGCGGCTAATTAGCATCACCCGCTAAGCCCGCACGTCGGGCACCGCAAGAACCTACCCCTTGAGTGAGGGTAGCTCAATGACACGCTTTACTAAGGTTGCTCTTCGCGACTCCCGCGGGGCGAGCACAATGCCCCTCACAAGCACTTCTCCGGAGCGCCGCACAAGCTTCTTGCGCGCTTCGACGGAGACCACCACCAAGCCGTCTAGGAGGTGGCAACCTCCAAGAGTAACAAGCACCACCGGCTCGCAACTCGATCACCTAGTGCCACTCGATGCAACCTCACGATGCAATCGCACTAGAATCGCTCACTCACACAATCGGATGATCGCTATCAAGTATGTGTGTGATGGAGGGCTCCCAAGCACTCACAAGCATGGACACTAAGTCCCTTGAGGTGCTCCACCAGCCATAGCCGAGGGCCACTTCTATTTATAGCCCCAAGGGCTAAACTAGCCGTTACCCCTTCACTGGGCAACGGTCGGGACGACCGGACGCTCCGGTCGTGTTGACCGGACGCTGGACCTCAGCGTCCGGTCGCCCGCAGACGACCACGCGTCCCGATTCCAACGGTCACTTGACCTGACCGGACGCAGCAGCTTCAACTGACCGGACGCTGAACCCTCAGCGTCCGGTCGTTTCCAGTAAGCTCCCGAGCATGACCGGACGCGTCCGGTCACACTTGATCGGACGCAGCCAGCGTCCGGTCACACTCCAGCTACTGCGTCACTGTACGTCAGCCTGACCGGACGCACCCTGCCAGCGTCCGGTGCATTCAGATCCAGCGTCCGGTCAGTTGACCGACGCCAGCATCTTCGCGACTAACTCGTTTTCACTTCTATCTTCATCACCCTTGCTCCAATATGCTAACCACAAGAACTTGCATCCGGCGCAATAGAAAATAGGTATTCTAATTTCCCGAAAGCGTCGAATCCCGCCTCGCAAGCTCGGCGGGAGGGAGAGAGGGACCCAAACCCATCTCACCCCTACAAACACCACCTCCTTTGTAAATGTGCCAACACCATCAAGTGTACACCACCATGTGTATGTGTGTTAGCATTTTCACAATCATTTCCCAAAGGATGTTAGCCACTCAACTTGCCACGCCACTCGATCCTAGCGACAATACAAAGTTAGATCACTCGAGTGGCACTAGATGACCGATATGCAAACAAGTTTGCCCCTCTTGATAGTACGGCCATCTATCCTAAACCCAGTCATAAACTTCTCTACACATCTATGACCGGTGAAATGAAATGCCCTAGGTTATACCTTTGCCTTGCGCATTCCATACCATCTCCTCCAATGTCGATGCAACACATGCACCAACACTATCAACAATGATATGATCCACTTCATATCATCACGTGATCATATTGGTTCATCGATCTTGACTTCACTTGCCCTTCACCGTTGCCATCGTCCATCGGCGCCAAGTCTTGCTCAAGCTTCACCGCCACGCGGTCCATCACTCCAAAGCCTTCGACTTGCCCTTCACGCTTGCAACCGGTCCATCAAGCCAAGTCCTGTCTTGATCTTCTCCACCTTGATCACATGACTCAATGTCATGTCTCATGTGCAATAAGCTCCTTCATCATCACATGTGTGAGCTTTGCAACATCTCCAAGCCATTTTCACCTCCATGGCATATGTTGCTCATACACATGTACCTGTGGACTAATCACCTGTGTATCTCACATAAACACAATTAGTCCACCTAGGTTGTCACTCAATTACCAAAACCAACAAGGACCTTTCATCGGGCGAGGCGGAGCCAGCCCTCAGGGGTCGGGCGAGGCGGAGCCAATCTTTAGTCGTTTGGGCAAAAAATATAGCTGCGTTCTTATCTGTTCGGAACCATTAACATTTGACGGTTATTAACTCCTCTTTTTTTTACCCAGTATTAGGTCCTCGATAGGACCTCCATCTCGGGTAGTCTGCATAATCGCCGTGCACACGTCCAGCACTCCAGCCAGCCGAGATCAGCGCATCGCGGGCTATATACGTTCAGACTGCTTTTTATTTGCGAATGCGTACATGGCTTCATAATCCATTTGGGCCTTGTTTAGTTGGCCAAACTTGGGAGGTGCAAAGTTTGCACAGTGCAAGATTTTTCATAGTAGTATTTCGTTTGTATTTGTGAATTATTGTCAAACATTGACTAATTAGGCTTAAAAGATTCGTCTCGCAAAGTACAATCAAACTGTGCAATTAGTTTTTGATTTTGTCTACATTTAGTACTCTATGCATGTACCGCAAATTTGATGTGACGGGAAATCTTCTTTTTGCATAGTGTACTTTTTCAGGAGTTTGGGAAGAACTAAGGCCCCGTTTGGCAGGGCTTCATTTCACTAGTGAAGCCATTTTTTTTGCTTCAGCTCCACGAACAGTTTCACCGGTGGAGCTGAAGCGGTTTTGGTAAACCGTTTGGCAAAATGGCTTTCCTGTGAGAGCATGTTTTTAGGGGGCCTGGAGAAGAAGCCGGAAGAAGCCACTTTTTTTTTGGCTCCATCCCATCTCAAATCACTGTGAGAGCATGTTTTTAGAGGCTTTACCAATGAAGCTATTTCACTTTACTCCATTTAATAGAAAACGGCTCCAAACGACTCTGAAGCTGATGAAAAAGTCCTGCCAAACGAGACCTAAACATGGCCTTGACTGAATTATACAAGTACTAACGTAACGTCGCGAGGTCATTCTGGTAATCTAGCATTTTCGCGCACCCGATAAATGGGGCCGCACCCACCGCCTCGCTCTCCACACAAACTCAGCCTGCCTGCTTAAGCAACCCAGCGAGCGAGCCAGCTAGTGAGACTGTGAGAGACGAGAGCTAGAGAGCTGAGCGAGATGGCAGCCACGGTTTCCTTCCCGGTGGTGAACATGGAGAAGCTGGAGACCGAGGAGACGGCCACGGCCATGGAGATCATCCGCGACGCCTGCGAGAACTGGGGCTTCTTCGAGGTGTGCATATATACACGCTGCTAACACCAAGCACACAACAATTAACCAACGCACATGCACCGCACCTCACAAGTAATCTACCACACGGCAGGAAGAATTTAACTCACTTCACTTGTTTGCCTGCCCTGGGCGCCCCTTGTTCAGCATCAACTCGTTCTGTCTGTCTTATCTGTGCTAGCGGCGCCGTTCCAGAAAAGAAAGCAAAGCATGCCTAGCTAGTAGCTAGCTTTGCCTAACAAACAGCCACCTCGAACGTACAGATTCCTGACCGGGCCAATTCGCTTCAACTTATCGACCGGTTTATGAGCTAGAATATGCAGTATTTTTTTTCTCGTAACAAAAACAGCTCCAGCCCGCTTTAATGTCACCCGAACAGTTGCGTCTCCCGGCCTGTCGATGGGAACACCACCTCACCTCTCACGCCTGGCTTGTCTTGCCCCTATGCAGCTGCTGAACCATGGCATCTCGCACGAGCTGATGGACGAGGTGGAGCGGCTGACTAAGGCGCACTACGCCAGCTTCAGGGAGGCCAAGTTCCAGGAGTTCGCGGCGCGCACGCTGGAGGCCGGCGACAAGGGCGCCGACGTCAAGGACGTGGACTGGGAGAGCACCTTCTTCGTCCGCCACCTCCCGGCCTCCAACCTCGCCGACCTCCCCGACGTCGACGACCACTACAGGTGAGTGTGTGCGTTCAAACTTCAAACACTTACACTACGTGCTAGCTGATGCGCGTCATTAAATTAACGACGTACGTATGTCGTATCGTATTAATTAGTAAGTTGGCTGTCTACGAGCCAATCAGTCTTTTGTTAAAGTTTTTGTTGGCTTCTGGCGGAAAGTTCAAAGTGCCATGTCAACAGCTTTTGACTCTTGTCTCTGAACCAGTTTTTTTAGTCTGAATAGTCTCTGCTTGGGTGACTTTGGTCTAACAGGCTGAGCTAGTTTAATGGCTTTGATCAAGCCTACAAAAGCTAGCTGACGACGCCACCTATCGTGCTATAGGTCCAATCAAAAGCTTTGTACACGTCTCAGATCAGAAAAAGGCTCTAAATTCTACCTGACCTGACGTGACCAGACCTGCTCCTATTAACGGTGGTGGTAGTAGCGTGTGTTCCATCTACAGTATCTTAATTCTGCCTGACGGCGACGCGAATAGTTATCCGATAGATCATTTCGTTGCTTGACAGGTGTTCATCAGCAGATAGAATGCTGTGTTAGTCCAGTAACTATCACAAGTCGAATCACTTTTTAGCGGGTGACAGACAGTGCGATCGATACATGGACGACGCGCTTATTTGCTTGGTGGAATATTCCTCCCGGCCCGTGTTTAAAAAGCCTTCCGTGTCGCTGCAGGCAAGTGACGAAGCAATTCGCATCGGAGATCCAGAAGCTGTCGGAGAAGCTGCTGGACCTGCTGTGCGAGAACCTGGGCCTGGAGCCCGGGTACCTGAAGTCGGCCTTCGCGGGCTCCAACGGCCCGACGTTCGGCACCAAGGTGAGCGCGTACCCGCCGTGCCCGCGCCCGGACCTCGTCGACGGCCTCCGCGCGCACACCGACGCGGGGGGCATCATCCTGCTGTTCCAGGACGACCAGGTGAGCGGCCTGCAGCTGCTGAAGGATGGGGAGTGGGTGGACGTGCCGCCCATCCGCCACGCCATTGTCGTCAACATCGGCGACCAGCTGGAGGTGATCACCAACGGGCGGTACAAGAGCGTGATGCACCGCGTGCTCACCCGCCCCGACGGCAACCGCATGTCCATCGCGTCCTTCTACAACCCGGGCGCCGACGCCGTCATCTTCCCGGCACCCGCGTTCGTCGGTGGCGCCGCCGACGAGGAGGAGCGCGCTGAGGCCACGTACCCGAGGTTCGTGTTCGAGGACTACATGAACCTCTACGTGCGCCACAAGTTCGAGGCCAAGGAGCCACGGTTCGAGGCCATGAAGTCAGCCATCGCCACCATGTGAACAAACGCTACTGCCTTCTGCCTTGCTTCTCCCTTCGTGGCGTGCATGCTTGAGCTTGAATCCTTGAGGCTTCAACGAACAATGTCCATGTGCTTATATTATATATAGTGGCACGGTTATATATGTGTGTATCGATGGTGGAACGGCGTAATGTATTTTGGTTGTCTCAGATCTATATGTACGTATATATGGTGTATTGTAAAGTGTGTAGCGTTTGATTAATGTATGAGAAGTGTGTACGTGACCCGGACCTGGTGTGTACTGCCAAATCAAGTGAGGGAACACGAATTATTAGTAATACATATATGTGAGTTATGTGGAACCCCAAACTGAACCTTTTTTTTTTTTTGAAACACGAACTTCATTACTCATCGGACTCAGCAGAATCGCTGGTCACCAAATCCTCAACAAAGTGAGGTACATCATCCCAAGTGATTCACATATCACTTGAACACTTACACACATAAGCCGCAATGGCATCTGCTACTTTATTAAATGAACGTGGGCATACACACACTTTGCTATACGCAAATTCAGTCATCAGCAAAAGCCGGAGTTCAGTAGTAATCCCACTCATGGCCGATAGGCGATAAGCATCATCCTCCAGGGCTGCTTTCACAAGAGAGGCATTGGTCTCAAGGACTACTCTGCGAATTCCCAGTTGTGCCGCTGCTTTCAGGCCAGCCAAGCAGCCAAGCAATTCTGCATGGAAGGCACTCTGTACAAATTGTTCTTTACCTGCACCTGCAGTCACCACGGCGCCCTGGTCATCGCGAATGATGAAACCCCAGCCGCCCGAACCGTTCGTGTGGTCGAAAGCCCCATCAGAATTAACCTTGAAGTTCCCTTGCTGGGGTTTGGTCCATTTTGGGTTCTAACGAGGTTTATGAAAAGTCGATATTCATCCCCCTATTGACAATCAAATCGAAACATGTCGTGCATAAAAAAAAGGATGTCGTGGCCCAAAAGGGGAAAAGTGAAAATCATTGAAAAAATAGTCATTTTTTCCACCCCATTTTCTAATTTGCCAAAAATAAAAAAAATAAAAATGATTGGAATGACTACGAACCTAGAAATTGGATCGCGGCGAAATGGGACTTTATTTCGATCGTTTTCACCCTGGTCGACCAACAAGTATAGTGTACCATCTCTGATCGTCGAGATTAGAAGGTGAACAACAAGTGGCTGGAGAGAAAAAAAAGGATAATAGTATATTATGTTTGACTGAATAACCTCAATCAGCTATGCCCTTTATATTTGTTGGGTGAAGAGGTATTGCCTCGTTAGAAGTTGAAACTGCTATACATTTTGTGCCAAAATACAACTCCTAACTTGTATTACATAGTCAAAGCCATCCTAGACAGTTTCCTCTAGTGCTTGAATCTTCAAATGGGCATAACACAATCTAGGCTAGAAATTGTGTGTTTCATATATGCATTCGATCGTCTCAAAGAGAGCTATGCAATTGTGAAGTCCAGTATATAATTTGACAAATTTATCAAAACCAGCCTGAATTATTTCGAAAAATGAGAAACAAGTCAAATCTAATTCCCCATAATTCTCAAGTCTTGTTAGTTTTTTTTTTTTTTTTTTTTCTGAAGGAACGTCTTGCCAGTTTTACATGGCAACACTACCAAATACTAGTAGGATCTAAATGCATTTATGGCCTGTTTTGATTGTGGCCTGTCAAGCATGTATGGTCTAGGTAAACAATTCTAGCCCCAAAATTCATCAATCGGACGTGTGGCAACTATCCCTGGCCGAGGCAAATTTCCCAAGCAGCAATCAAACAGGCCGTTTAGGCTCAGAATCATCCTTACGTACTTGTCAGCAACCAAGCCCAATAGCCCACATGACTGGTCCAATCCAATTCTGTACGACGGCAATTGTCCTCGAAAAGAGGATAACCGACCCAAAACGGCCCACCAGCGAATCGGAACGTCCGTTTCTCTACTGCTCCACCTCGTTCGAGCGGCTCGGGCCTCCCAAGTCCCAACTGTCCACAGTCAAAAGTGTGCACCAGAAAAGAAACCGAGGGCTTGTTCGGCTGGCGAAATACTGTTTATAGAGATTTTCTCTCACAACAACGGAAGTTGCGCACGCGCGACCAATCCACCGCACCCAGGTGCCAGCCGGGCACGGAAACCACCGCTGATGACGGCAGTCGGCAGATCTCTCGTCTCGATCAGTGAAAGCACTGGCTCAATATTCAGCCTGTTCGGGAGGTCGTATCGTATCGTGAATTATTTACTGCTGGCTGGTTTGATGTAAGAGAAAAACATTGTTCCTGACTGAAAATTTACGATCGTTTACGAGCAAACAGGGCTGATTCTCTTCTCGGCTCCCCCTTCCGGTGGTCCACAGCCTGCCTCGCCTGGCGACCCCAACTGGCAGCTTCCTCCTTCACATGTCGCGCACGGCGCACGGCCGGAGCCCGCAGGCCGCAGGTCACCTACACCTACCGCGCGGGTGGCCCATGTACCCATTCCCATGTGGTTCCAAGGCCTGGCCGTCTGGCCGCCGAGCATGCGAGCACTAGGCCACGACCGCCTACCGGCACGCCGCACACTCTGGTACGCAGCGTAGGTGTCGAAAGGTTCGGAGAACGGCAGACTTTGGGAAACTTTGGATCCGTGCCCATGTCTGCCCGCTACCATGCGTGCCAAGTGCTAACAGCCCAACACCAAACCAGTTGAGCAGTGGTGCTGCACGACAACATCTGAAAGCGGTGTTTTTCCAGGGACCAGCGACATCCCCATTTCTAGAGCAATCACTCACATAATGGTTCAGACAGTTTTTATTTACAAAAACCGAAAAAGGCAGCGTCGCTTTGCGATCCGAAACTTTCCAAAGAGGAAATCGGCACAAAATCCTCGATTCCAATGCTTTTGTAGTCAAAATGCTCGCCGAACTCCATAGACAATTAGGCGAAATAGCGTTTTAGGGAGTACAGGGGTAGGGGGCGGAAAAGGCCAGACACGGACGCTGCATGAGTTCATATCATACTCAAGTGTACATTGTCGTCCATGCGCTAATTCGAGGCGATGATGGAACAAGAGTCAAACAGGTCACTCGAGTCGAGACAAACCATAGTGGGTCACATGGGCGCAAAGGCTAAACCATTAATTTAATTAATCTATACTGATCAGATTATAATACTAGCATTAGCATGCTAGTTGTGATAGTAGGAGTACTAGTTACATGGACTAAACAAAGATATCCACCATTAGCCAAAGCTGCAAAAAGAAAGGCGTACAGCTACAGTGATGTTCGTCTACGTACGCTGCGTCGCTGCAGCAGGAGTCAAGGCTGCTGCAGCACGGCAGCAGCAGCAGTAAAGACCGTGCTGCAGCAGCAGTAAATAAAGGCTGAAAGGGTGCAAAGATTCCGGCATCCTCTCGACTGATTGAGCTGCTGCCATCGATTCTTCGTTGTTCTTGCTATTGGTTTCAGGCAGGCACTAAACCCTAAAGCCTTATCGGCCATTTCATAGTGTTTTTTCTCACACCAAATCAGGACTATCCGGGCTTATCAGTCCTGAATCCATGCGGTGAACAGGCCGACAGTCTTCGCCACTGTTGCTTCTGTTCAGACCGTCGATGGGAGGTCGCACTTGCCCATCTCTGTAAACAATGCAGCGAACACCCAGTGAGATCGCAGGTTAGATTACAATCAACTCTTAAAAACAGCACATTCTCCCATCTAACAGCGGATTATATCGCACTCCTGTCAAAGCGCACCATGAGGGAGGACTTGTCTCGAGACGACCACTGGTCCACGGAGGCACGTACAGTACAGTAATGAGTGGAGTAAAGAAAATGCAGTAGGGTACAGGAGTACGACGTGTGTCCAGCTTAAAGTAGAATTGCGTTTTTTTAAAGCACCTGCGTTTTTTTAAAGCACCGTGTATAGATTGGGGCTATGAATCAGTATTCAGTAGCACTTTCATTTGTATTTGACAATTATTAACTAATCATAGTCTAGGCTCAAAAGATTCGTCTTGTAATTTACAATTAAACTGTGTAATTAGTTTTTTTTATCTACATTTAATACTAATTACGAAAAGGCCCGGGAGCTGAAAAGAGTAGCCGAAGTTGGCAATCAGGCACAGCGCGGTCTGCGACGTCCAGACATGCACGCGGCACCAGTAAGGAAACCAGGGCCTTGTTTAGAATCCTCAAAAACTCTCTCTGCAATCACATTAAGGCCCAGAAGCTGATAAAAAAAAATAATTAATTGAAGTTGGAAATCACGAGATGAACAGTTGGTCCATGATTGCAATATTTATCGAATAAGACATGCACGCGGCACCATCGGTTTGAAATTTTTTTCAATCTAAACCAGGCCCAGGACAGAGAGGACGTCGAGCTGCGAGCCGCACAGGCCCACCCCTCAGTCATTATTGCCCTGGTGCGCCTACTACTACAAGGCCTGAACACACGTCGGATCCAATGCCAGTGACAACAGCCCGGATCCAATGCAGGCTTGAACACGGCCATAACTGACTGCTTAAAATCGCAGTACAGATTTGGTCGTCACAGAGCAGCAGTCGCGGTACATCGAATATTTCAACATGAAGAAGTATTAAATATAAACTAATTACGAAATTAATTATATAGTTTACAACTAATTTACTATACAAATCTTTTAATCCTAACTAGCACATAATTTGATAATATAATGCTACAGTAAATATACGTTAATAACAGATTAATTAAACTTAATAAATTCGTCACGTAAAGTATAATAGATTCTGTAATTTTTTTTTTATTAGTATCCGATCCTCCCTAAGTTGTAGTCCCGGTATCAAACAACCCTAAATGCCAAATGGGGCGCAGCGTGCTAGGAGTACAGTACGTGGTGTGTACTGTGCGGCGTGCCTTCAGACGTGGTTTTACTGGACGTGACTGTGGTGAGTAGGAGTTCTGTACTCGCAAAAGAACGGGAATCATTCCCGTAAAATGGCAAAGCAAACCTTTGATTTGATTTGAACTGTTGCCAGTAAAAATCACCATGCGGCCCAGCGATAAATATGGGTCCTACGGATGTTTCAGGCCTAGATTCCCGCGATCATCACTTTAACCGAAACTGTGTGGCTTTGGTCGCGTACTGCTACTCACCATTTAACATGTGTCGATTGCACCTAGCAGTGACAGCATTTACATTTTGCTACGTGATTGAACGAATTCATGGAGTACGTAATCACGAGCAATATATAATGTGCGATTTTTAGCTGGGTCGAAAATGGCACGAGGAGAAGATGAGTGGCAGCTTACTTGGTGCCTGGTTGACGACGTAGGCGGCGCCGGCGAAGTCGCAGGTTCCGATGGACCGGCCCTTGCGCTGGTAGTAGTAGTTGAAGGCGTAGGAGGCGTGCGCGACCATGGTGTTGGGCTCGAAGCACGCCGCGCCGGGCTGGATGGCCTTGCAGTCCGCGCCGCCGGGGCCGCACGCGTAGTCCAGCGCCGCCTGGAGCCGCTGCTCCCCGACCATTGCGTTCGCCACGCACCACGCCTCCCCGGTCGTCACCTTCACACCGCTCGGCGGATTGCCGCTGGTGCTGCCGCTGCTCTGCCCGCCGTTCTCCTGCCACCCGAGGGCGCCGTTGCCCTGGCTGCCGCCGCCGCCACCGAGGACGAAGTCGACGTCGTACACCTTCTGCTGGTTCGGGTAGAAGACGCCGTAGTTGCGTTCGGAGGTGGGCCCGGGCTTCTGGTTTTCGTTGAAGAGCGCGAAGAGGTACACGTCGATGTCGGCGTCGGGGCGGCGAGGGGTGCCGGCGTTGCCAGAGAGCACGCGGCGCGCCAGGTTGCCGTTGTACGCCGCGGCGTTGGCCGCCGAAGCGCCTGCCTCGTTGGCGTCGCCCTTGGACGGCCACCCGGTCTCGGAGACCACCACGCGCACGCCATTGTAGTTCCCCAGCTTGCTGACCGCGGCGAACACGGCGTCGAGCTGCGCGTCGAGGAGGCTGTAGTACTTGAGGCCGTTACCGGGGTCGAGCACGCCGGCGTTGGGGCGGAACAGCGCGTAGTCGAGGGAGATGTCGCCGGCATTGCCGGAGTAGGCGAAGAACGGGTACGCGTTCACCATGAGGTACGACCCGGTCTGCGCCAGGAAGTCGAGCATGGGCTTCATGACGGCCTGCGCGAGGTCCTCACGGAACGCGCCCGCCGAGGACGGGTACGACGACGCGAGCGCGGTGAGCGCGATGGGCGACGACACCTTGACGGCGTTGTCGAGGTTGAGCCTGGCCAGCGCGGCGTGCACGTTGGTCATGGCCGGGACGAGCTGCGCCGTGACGTTCTTGGCCGACGCGAACACCTCGTTGCCCACGGCGATGCCGTGGATCTGCGTCGCCGGGTAGTAGGCGGCCACGTTGCGCCGCACCCACAGAAGCGCGTAGGACGCGCGCGACGCCGCCGCGGCGAGCTGCTCGTTGGGCAGCGCCACCACCACCTTGATGCCGGAGTTGCCCAGCGCGCGCAGCACGGTGGGGTCGGCGTCGTACAGCTTCACCTGCGCGACGCCCTGCTGCTTCAGCAGCTGCACCACCGCCGCCGGGTTCGGCAGGTTGTTCGCCACGCGGCCGTAGTTCACGCCCACCGTCCCCGCCTCTGCAACCAGAACAAAACACACACACACACACCAATCAGTCACCAAACCGCCACCTGCATTGCCGCATTGTTGTCATAAAAAACCTCAGTCTTTGCGCGTTCCGGTGGTGTTTACCTGCCGGGCAAACGAAGAGGAGCGGAACCGACACGGCGAGGACAGCGACGAGGAGGCGGCGTGGGGGCGCCATGCTCTGCTGCGGCGCGGAGATGTACTGAGGCAGAGCAAGACGGCGCGGGGATGAGTGGGCGAGTGTGGGGCGGAAGGAAGATGCGGAGGCTGGGGATTTATGGCCGGCGACCTCGTTACGCTGCCAAGGCGGGGCCCACGCTAGCCCGTTCGGGGCGGTAAGGGAAAAGTGGCGCGTATGGTGGGGCACGTCGCGGCGGGCTCGGCTCGTGCGCGGGGTGGTGTGGTGTGGTGGGGCGACGTGGAGGCAGGCATGTGGCCGTGCGCGCGGGTGTTGCCTGGTTGGTGGTGCGCGTGGGATTGGGATCCAGGCGTCCAGTGGCGATGGAAAGCGAGGAGCCGTGGTCCGGGGGAGCGCCGGCCGCCGGGGGCAGCCGGGCAGGAGCGCAGTACTGAGGCTGGAGGGCGTGGGCGCGTGGCCCGCTCGCGGCGACCGTTGTTTCGCTGCGCGATGGGCCCCCAACGTACGGCCGTTTCGGCTGGTGGCGCCTGGTGGTTAGTGGCTAATCAATGTCGACGCTGTGTAGTGCGATGAGACTGATGCCAGTTGCTGCTCGTCTCAACGGCTCGAAAATCTTTCATGTTCTGTCCTGTTTTAGTACCGTTGAACAAAACTCTTTTCCGTGTCTCTTTACGTAGTGTTTCTGATGAATGAATGAAACTGACGCAAGTGGACCCAGCGATTCCTTTTATTTTGCGAGGAATTAACGCAGTGGTTCTACTATACGTTCTGATATGTACAGATTTTGGGTGGTCAAGAACACAATGACCCTGTTCGCTTAAACTACTTCATTTGGCGAACAGGGCCAATGTTTTTCTTGAGAAATAGATATACTCCTATGTGAGTGTTCAAGCAGACCTGAGCCGTCCAGTGTGCGGTGTGCCAAATGTCACTGTTGCAGCACTGCCGCATAAGCGATTTTTATTTGTCTGGGTAACAAGAATAGGATAAGGCGTGGTATTTTTGGTTGGCTTCTGAAACTCTTGACGGCAAAGGGGAGATATCGTTTTGGTTGGCGCAGATAACACGAAACAGTAGCTGTCAAACTTTGGCCGCCCACTGTACTGGCTGCCGTACTTGACTGTTTACACGGACAAGCTAGGCTGGCCGCTGTGGATTGGGGCAGTCGACAAAGGTCTCGCCGCTACTGTTTCTGCGACTTACGCTTAACTTATACCGTTTAAATAAAATAATAGTGTTTTTCTCTTACAACAAAACAACGTCAGCATCGGTTGTTTTTACAACCAGCCGAACAGGGCTTCATCTGCAGATAAACCCTGCTGTTCTTGTTCGGTCCGCCATCAGCCTATCATGGAGAATCTCAGACTCCCAGTGCGACGCCTGCCGCGTGAAACCGACAGCGCTCGCCCGCCGGGCTCGGCCAAGTCGACAGCGACTTGGACGCGTGGTCCTGCGGAGGACGTGTGATAACAGGCTGCATCCACCGACTTAAATTGCGTGCTCAGTGAAGGCAAAGCAAAGCAAGCGATTAAGTACAAATGTACAAACACGCACGACAGATGCGCTAGTGCACCGGCCCGCCCATGGCAAGTGCAGCCTCCGGTTGCCGTTGCCGACCTCAGCTTTGCCGTCGTTGCACAGCACTGCGGCAACACGCGATGTGTGTGTGTGTGTGTGTGTGTGTGTGTGTGTGCGCGCAAGTGCAAGTGCGACGGAAAGTTGGTGTGCTGTGACAATGGTAGGTTAGGAAAGGCAATTGGCAAAGCGAGATGGACCAAATTAAAAGGGGACGCATCGGTCCAACTTGGGTTACTTGTTTTGCTTGGCCCCCAGTCGCGTCGTGTGATTGTGTCCCATGGACAACAAGAGTGGAGTACATAGCAAACTTGTCAAAAAGAGTACATAGCATGGGGATCGACCGAGCGTGAATGCGTGATGCGTTGTGGGAAAAGGGAGCGGCTTTTAGGTGAAGCGGCGGAGCAGCGGCTCGTAACAATGGGGGCAGGACAGCCGTGCAAGGGTCAGAGAGTGGTTACGATAGTGCAGAGTGTAGTTTGTAGTGTTGTCAATGGGCGAGACTTCCCATGATTCATACACGCTGCGTAGGCGACTTTGTGGGTTTTGTTTGTGGACGTGGCGAGTAACGTAGGTGCTACGGAGCATCATGCTCCGGCAGTCCGTCTTGCTTGTTCTCCACTCCAGCTACATTTCCCAGTCCCAGCTGCATGCATTCGAGGTCGAGGTGATGAGGAGACACAGCCCAAAGCATGATTCGTCGTGCATGCCATGCCCGTTCCGTTCATGGAAAGTCGCCGGAAACGTTCAAACAATCAGGCCGCACGAGACGGCTTCGTGGAGTAGAGGTTTGCATTGCAACTGCGAACTAATAAGGCTCCATTCGGTTAGCCGATATTACGGGAGGAAGTATTCCGAACGTGAAAATCTTATATAAATTAATGAATGGTTATGGGTCGAAATTCTTCCGGGAGCTCATTCCCCATGAAGCGAACGAGGGTTAAAGGAACTTTCAGCAGCGGAGCAATTTCACCGGGTAGGCGCGCCACAAGTGCGCGTGGCGGGCCCAGGGCTCCGTGCGTGGGCACGAATGCACGAAACGAAACGACATGGGGAAAGCAGGGTGGAAAAGCGAGGACAGCTTGGCAACGGCAAAGCGGGCTTGTCCTGCACCCTGCCTTGCCATGTGCGCCGTGACGCCCGCGCTCCGCCCCCGCCCGCTCGCCCCGTCCGCGGCGTGATCACTCGTCGAGACGACTCGGTCTCGCGGTGCTTGCGAGGGAGACGCCAACGCATGACTCCATCGCTGGCTGCTAGTGCGCCGGAGCTCATGTGGGGGCAAGTGGACAAACAATTATGGAGGTCCATATTGTTCGCACCTTCGATCGGGTCGGTGCATGTTTGTCCGAGCGAAACGTCGTCGTCGGGGGAGGAAGAGGGTCGCCGGCCCGCTTCTGCTTCTGTCGAGTTCGGGTAGAAATGCTGGAGGAGCGCGCGCGCCGGAGCTGGGTTTGTTCAGATTTCCAGCCTCCTAGTGTACTCTTTTGGTCGATCATCACATGATGATAGCAGAGCCGCTATTCATAGATCTCGCTCTTCCTTTCCTCGCCTCGCGGCCTCGCCTCATTATTCTCTGGCAGTTTCTTTCTCCTTTCAAGCATGTGGACTGTGGCAATGGCGGCTTGGCAAGACGGCAAGTTGGCATCCTTCCTTCTACTCAGTGACGCCAGTAAATCGCGGATAAAATAAGCTCAGGGCACTGCATCATTGCACGGCGTGTTGGAGTTTCAGGTTTGATTACCCATGATCTGTCTCTCGTGGTAAGAACAAGCACCGGCAACTCGCTCTGTACTCAGTGATCCGGACGTACGTGGCACGGGGATTCTGGTTACAGCTCCCACATCATCAGCTGTCAGCGTGTGTCTCCCATGTGAATCCTGCCGGTGGATGATTGGATTGTTATGTACCGCGCCTGCCACCGGATCCGTCGCAGCGCAGCGACAGCCATGAGAGGTCAAGACTGCAGTGTGCTCATGTGAACCAAAGCTTTTATCCGCGCCGTGGACACCAACGCTGCAGTGAGCTCTGCCGCTCATTCATGACATGCTTGGGTCCAGTTTGCAAAAAATTTTGCAAAATTTTTCACATTCTCCGTCACATCGAATTTTTTGACGAAATCTTAAAAAAATTTAAATTTTGGGTTGCATCTAAATAAAAAATGAAAACGTAATGGCACGGGGATTTGGGCGAAATCCACATCATCAGCTGTCAGCGTGTGTTTTGAATCCTGCCGGTGGATGATTGGATTGATGTACCGCGATGCCACCGGATCCGTCGCAGCGCAGCGACAGCCATGAAAGGTCAAGACTGCAGTGTGCTCGTGTTTTGCAAAAATTTTTCCATCTAAACCAACGCTGCAGTGAGCTCTGCCGCTCATTCATGACCTGCTTGGACTATGGCCCAGTTTTGGCCGGCGTCTGGACAGCTCCGGCTCGGGCTGATGAATCACTGTAGTTACACTATTCACCGAAGCTGTTTTTTTCTCTCCTCCTTTTCTCACTGACATCACCGGAGCCGGAGAACCTCGTTTTTTTGGCTCCCATGGCTCCGGCTACAGTGTGGCTACAGTGTAGGAGCCGGAGCACGCGGGAGCCCGGCCAAATGGGGCCTATGTAGACCATTGCTCCGCCGCTACCTGAGAAATGAGATCACGGCGCCGTATTGAGCCAGCATATTCAGACACTCAGATGGGAAAAAAAGTGATAGAAATTACAGGATGCACTAGCAGTAGATGTAGCAGGTGTAAAATGTTATTTAGCATATAATAAACCCTAGAACATGAACTGGTATGAGAAACTAGAGAGGGAGAGAGGTGTGGGTAGCAAATCATCGGCCGTCTTCGACGAAGACAGTGGCCATCATTTGGTGCTTGTGATGGAGAGTGCAGTGGTGACTTCGGTGAAAAGCGCGATCATGAGGCGGCAGATGCAAAGGTGGGGTGAAGCCGGTGGCGGTGCTTCCCGTCACTGGCAGCGCCCTCTCTCTAGATCGGTTAGGTTTTGGGATGTAGGTGGGTGTCTAGCGGCTCAGATGAACCTCGTTCCTTGTGCCCCGCCCCCACCTCCTTTTTTATGGCGTTGTGCGATAAGGGCCAACCAACCATGTAGCGGTTGGACACCCCCAATCAGGACGCAGATCCAAGGGCCCAATTGGCCGTGGAGATCAATCTACCATTCTCCCCCTTATCTCACCTTATAACTTAAACTTAACTACTTACTTTATCTTGTTTCTATTCCATCACATATCAGAGCATAGAGCGTGCCTCATCATCACGGTGTCGACACAGAATTTTCGTCTCCGTGCCGAGGACACACGTAGCAAGCCGGAAGGGTCCGCTCGATGGAGCAGATCCGCCTAGCTTCAGCGCAAGGGTGGTCGATCCTACGCAATCCTCCCAAGACGTGCCAGTCAATTTGACTCTACAATTAACAATGAGAGAAAGCTTATCAGTAATTAAGGGCGAA